TCGTAGCTTACCATGGAACTAGATGGCGCTGTGTCTTAATGTCCCAACATATTTATTTTATATTTAAATAATAATTGCTGCAGGCAAAAGCATCCTGGAAATTAAAATACTATTATTAGATGGTAATATTAGCACGCTCACATTTGCTGTAATTTCTATTAAACTCGTTTGATGATTAGCGATGTGAAAGCATATAGTACTTTTTAAAATTTCAATTTTCTTGGACTAATCCTATCGGAATTAAACTTGCATCGGACCGATTATCGATTTCAACGTTTTCAACACTTAGCTTTTAAAGATCTCAGGGGAACGAGAATACTCTTCTAGAGGTCGGTTTAAAAAGTGCTCATGCTAATAAATATTTTATCTATTTAGGTTCATGAGAAAATGTATTATATGTATCTGTCTGTTTATAGTCTTATAATTCAGGAAAATTTCGGACATATTACAACCAACTTACGGTTAATGGCGATTGAGTCGTGTCGCTTATTTATAAACTTAATAATAAAAATAACATACATACAGAGGAATAAAGAATCTCCTCCTTTTTGAAAGTCGGCTAAAAATACCACATATGTAATGACGGAATAAATAAATTGTTTAGTTTCATTTTAACCATATTCTTAAATCGATTTAAATGACTTGTAAACATCACATTATACGATTTCACGTTTGTTATATATATATATATATATATATATATATATATATATATATATATATACCTATATATATATATATATTAATTAATACCAGATCGATCCATTTATTAAGTTAGTATGTACGTAATAGGACGAGTCGATATAATCTGTATTTTTAATATTATAAATGAGAAAGTTTGAGTATGGATGTTTGTTACTCTTTCACGCCAGAACGGCTGAACGGATCTGGATGAAATTTAGCACAAAGATAGATTATAGTCTGGAATAACACATAGGCTACTTTTTATCACGGAAAAATGTACGGTTCCCGTGAGATAGGTTTGTTTTTGTTTATGTAGAGGCTAACCTGAGCGAATCGAGGGCGAGCTTCTAGTTCTTAATAAAATATTTGTCACATTGTAATTTTTTACGTCAGCTAAATAAAAAATTTAATACAATCAACACTTTTGAAACTGGCCTTTGAATAGAAAATGTGCTTTTCAATGCGACCGAAACCATACGCTGTTATTAGTTTTAATAAAATGAAACCTTTAGTAGGCCCCGAGGGATATCACTAAGTGGGTCGCTAGCTTTCACCATAATTAATTACTTAGCTTTAAGTCATGTCTTGTTTCGTCTTTTTTGTTATTAGGTTTATTGTTTGCCCCAAGGTGTTGTATTTGGGAAGAAGATTGATGGGATGACACTCTAATGGACTGTGAACAAAGACGTTCCGCTAGGCACATGAGTCCTATTACGACGTCGCTTTCCACACAAAAATTTATGTAAAAATGCAATCGTTTTTTTTTTCAAATTTTATAGATTAGAATTTATGTTTTTGTTTAATTTTAATATCTTAAATTAAATAACTGACCATGTGATTTTAAATATATTAATAGTTATATGATGGTTTTGATATGCTATGGGAGATTACATTTGGTATAATATAGGTACTCTTGATCCTCAAGACTTATCTCTAATAAGCAAAATATGAACTTTTTATATATAAATTAATTGCTGTTCGTTAGTCTCGCTAAAACTCAAAAACGGCTGGACCGATTAGAATAATTCTTTTTTTGTTTTGTTGGGGGTGTATCATGGGTGGTTTAAGTATAAAAAACTAGGGAAAACCCAAAAAGCTGCTGGAAAATCAAAAAGCTCAGAACAGCTATTTTGTATGGGAATCACTCATATAAATATAATAAATTAAAATAGAAGGACTAATATCCTACTTATCCTACTAATATTAAAAATGCGGAAGTTTGTAAGGATGTATGGACGTATGAATGTCTGGATGTATACATGTATGGATGTTTGTTACACTTTCATGCAAAAACTACTGAATGGATTTTAATGAAACTTTACAGTAACATAGCTTATACATCAGAATAACACAAGGACTTCTTTTTATCCCGTAAAGGGTACGGTTCCCGTGGGATAGATTTGTTTTGTTTTTTTTTTGTGAACACATAGCTAATTATGAAGAAAGTAGCTAAAGTTAGTAAATTAACATAATAGAATGTTTTTAATAATTAAATTTGAAATTTGCGATAAAAATATAAAAATACCTGGGAAACTATGTGTTATTCTAGACTATACTCTATATTCCTGTGCCAAATTTCATCCAGATCCGTTCAGCCGTTCTGGCGTTAAAGAGTAACAAACATCCATTTGAACTCCCTTGTTCCGTTTTCCTCATACAAGTACCTCAAGGAGATTTACGCAACAGCATGTAAAAGGTCTTTTATTGCCAATAATTAAACCGATCGATTTTCACGGCGCTAAACATTTACGGTCCATTTTATGGCGTGTTTAGTTAAGTTTACAAATATGGCGTCCAATAAAATGCAGCCGACACAGTTGAACAGTTTGAATGATATTTGTCACCATTCTAGATTTTAAAGATAAAAATAAACTTATGTTTTAATCTAACCCTGGAAAGATTTATCGTTTTAATGAATATAGAAACTGAATATATATTTTTTTCTATTGAATTTAAAGTAACCAGTTGGTGTCAACTTTCAACGCCTTTAAGTTGTGCTAAGTTTATTATAACATTTGTATTAATAAATATTGTTTAAATACGTATTCAAATATCTGAGGTCTGGGTTTTTATAATCTTATGTTGATCTAAATGATCTCATAAAATCACTTTAACTTATCTACCCCTTCTTCTTGGGCCTACAATTTATTTCGTGTCACTATTAAAATATTATAATTTACTAGCGTAGTACTTGTTACAATTTTTCATTTTGTTATTGTGGGTAGGCTGTCTGTAACATCTATACCTTTGAGACATCTAACACCTCAGTCTCTCCCGTAATCATGATTACTGTAAAGCAATCGAAACGTCGGAACCAAAAATCGAAATAAATCCGCGACATAATCCGAAAAGATAGTTTTATTTAAAACTAGCATTGCCCGCGGCTCCACCCGGTGGAAGGATAACTCGACAAAATTTGAGAAGGATCAGGCGCAGGACCGACGAATTTACGTGCTCTCCGAGGTACGGGTGACAAAACCGCCAACTCCCAACTCCCAACTCCAGACTGCTACTATGATTTTTTTGACAGAAAATCCCTATAATAATATTTCATCCGATCTCTTACTCGAACCCAGAACCTCCGGATCTTCGTCCGTACATGCTTATCGCAAAACCAACGAGACACTATTTGAATTTACTATAATAACATTTTAGACTAACTGTAAACCTTTTCAGCGTTTGATCATTCCATTTGGTGAATGTCACAATTATAGAGAATACAATATTGTAGAACCTTAAGCAGTAGGTATCATAGATCTTCATGCCTTTGAAATTAGTTCTCTAATTGTACTTATATTTGCCACAGTCTCTACGGGCATTGTTTGAATCCATTTAATATGAACCTCTATAATGAATGAGGGTATGAACGTTATAAGCTTGTGTTTTGACCTAGTTAATTTATAATAGTGTCATCTGGACATCAAAGCCTTTATAGTGGAGAAGCAAGCAATATTGAATTAAATGATAATATTTTACATAATGTTAGTTGAAACTTTTGCTTTGTTATTTTCATTAGTCGTTTATTTTAAAAAATGTATTTAAAATAAACGCCGGAGACAGAACAGAGTTTTTTGATTATACCTAATAAAAAATTCTCTAAGTCTCCAACACAAGTATTGTATTCAGCCCTTTTTAACGTCCCACTGCTGGGCACGGGCCTCCCTTCAATCGGGGATCAGGCCATAGTCCACCACGCTGGCCAAATGCGGGTTGGTGGACACAAATCTGCTAAGTATTAACATTTCCAATATTTCGATAAGTTCTAGACGCTGACAAAAATCTAAAATATTCTGGTTTAATAATATAATAGACTAGCGACTCATTTTTGCTCCGCTTGGGTTCGTCCCTACTTGCGTTTTAAGGTTTAGTATAGATTTCTCAGAGATGACATATTTTCCCGCAGTAAAAAGTCTCCTATATATAACCCGGATATCTAACTATCATCATACTAAATTTCATCAAAATCCCTCCAGCGGTTTTTCCGTGATGCGGTAACAGACAGACAGGCGGAAAGACAGACAGACAAAAATTATAAAAAATTATAAATTCGGCCTCTGTATTGATAATTATGTGTATTTCAATAAGATTTTCCAAAAAAATATTTAATCTACAGATTCGGCTGAGTTAGAATTATATTATATGTATATACTCTTAAGTGTTTGATGAATGTACTTAAGTAATAGATATTGGCTCGACGTGCAAATGTCCAAGTTTTTTAACGCGTTTCATGTCACAAGTCGGGCAATAAATGCCAGTCAAGCTGGTCTAGGTATTTAGGTTGAATAGTGACAAGTGGAACTCTAATACTTGGTGATAATATTTGTACTTAAAAATATGTTATTATTCATCGGATCTTAATGGGTTATTACTAAGTATTCGTATTTTATACGTATTTTTCGTATAGAGCCAATTGAAAAATGTATTATTATGTTATAAATATATATGTATATGTATAGTCAAAAAAAACAGTACATCTGTTTTTTAAATAACGAATTCCGGGTAAGATTACAAAAAAAAATTTGGTTAGTTGAACGATTTTTGCTTAGATACTTAGTAGAAGACAGTGGAATATTAAGTTTTCACAAAAATCCAAAAAATGAATGGTTGTAGCATAGATAATAATAATATGACCTATATTTATTATCTGTCTACGTTAGTAAAATTGCGTAGTAAAAAATGAAAAACATGAAAATTTATACATTTTTATTGCTACATAACTTTTAACTAACAAATCTGACTCAGATCAATCTAATAATATTTTGTGACAAAACTTACTAAATATATGAATTGTATACACACGGTTTGCTTCCAACTCATGAATTTGGTGCACAATAGCTTAGCAGTTCATTTATAGTGCAAGGTTTCTCGCAGCACTCAGCGACTATGCCATTCCTCTTGAATCTATTCAGCTTATAAGCTCGGCCGGAAGTGATCCACGGCCACCCGGAAATACCTTGATTATTTCGTACAGATCTTCTAAATAAACTATCATTGCAAAACAAATCCAAAGCCATTGAAAGACGTCTACCACAATACACCTGTCCATCATTTTGAGACGACACTAAAGCCAAAACTCCGAAAAGCACAACTAAAATAACGTAAAACTTCATATTGGACGATCTTCTCTTAGCGAAATTCAAGCTGATAATGTGCATAAAATGAAATTTTGCAGCTTTTATAGGGGTTGGTGGATAATGTGCAATCATATCTAGTGTTTTAAATTAATGCGACCTGAGTTCTTCGTAGGAAGTCTGACGTCAACAGACTTACCTGTTAGGGAACGAGGTCGCGGGAAACTTATCGAAATTATAAAGTTATATGAAGTGACATACTCGTATTTATGGATTGGTTGACGCGTTCATCTATACAATGGCTTACACCGTTTATCTATACTAATATTATAAAGAGGTAAAGTTTGTGAGTTTGTGACTTTCTAGGGGGTAATCTCTGGATCTACCGAACCGATTTAGATGAAATTTGGTAAGAAGATAGTTTGAGACCCCTGGGAAGGACATAGGATACTTTTTATCCCGGAAATAATCCCTTAAGGGGGTGAGCAAGCTAGGGACGAACCCGAGTGAAGTGAGGGTGAGTCGCTAGTGTATTATATTTTACTACATATAACCCGCGGCTTTACATGTGTGAATTTGCTTTGCAATATTTAAAAGTTTTACTATTGAAAAATAAACAAAATTATCATCAAATATAATTTGTAGAAAATTCTAACAATAGAGGTAATTTCAATTTTAATTTTTAATACGAGTAGTACGTCACTATAAAGCTTTCAGAGTCTACGATACTATGAAAAAGGAAATAATAGTAACGATTATAAATTTAATGAACACCCATGTTAATTTACACCGATATTACATTTTTATTATTTTTTCAAGAGGTTTTATTTTTAACCGACTTACAAAAAGGAGGAGGTTCTCAATTCGTCGGAATCTTTTTTTTTATGTATTCTCACCGATTACTCGAAGACGCCTGAACCGATTTGGAGTTTTTTTTTGTTTCGATGGGTATAGTTCCCAGGTGGTCCCATTTAAATTTTATCGAAATCGGTCCAGCGGTTCTTTAAAAAATGAATATTTTTTTAAATAAATTGCTTAATCTTACTTAAATTGCTTAATCTTTTTCGCGTTAAAAAACTTTCTTCTTACAAATTACCAGCTTATTACGTCTAGCAACACTAAATAATATTAGTAATTAATAAAGTATAAAAAGTAATATTTATAATAATAACAGCTAAAATTAAATTAATAATATTGCTACATTTAATTATAATACTTATTAAAAAAAATGTTTAAAAATAAAAATCAACAAATTTTGTAAGGTATTTTGGTGCCATTTTGGAATTTTTGAAATCATTTTTGTACAATAGTGAGTAGGCACTGTCTGTAACAAGTATATCCATCTATCCATCTAAATAAATCCGCGAAATAATCCGAAAAGATAGTTTTATATGTAAGAAATATCTTTGCTTGTTTTTTTTATATCTTGCATTGTATTATTACTATATTTCTTCTATAAATAGAATTGTAATAGCTTTATAGCATCATAATGAAGGTAAAGTCTCGTGTGGTCACTGTGCCGTGTGATGAATATTTTACTTTGAATGAGGTGTGATGTAGATAAAGGTCGCTGTGTCGCTGTGGACCTAAATAGGTTTATTTTGTTCAATATATGCTTAAAATTCCATATAAACGTATTTATTATTGAGATTATCATAATCTTCCACTTCCACATTTTAATTATTATGATAATGCAAGTGCATAGACATTTATTTGATCGTTTTTTTGTTAATTTTTGTAAAACAGAAAATGATTTTGTGCCTATGAATACTTTAATGATTATAAGAAAAATAAATATATTATTATAAAATAAATAAATATTTTTATTTTATAAATAGGGAATATGCATGATTTTTTTTAATCTTTTTTACAATAGATTAGTTTAATTCGTTAATAACACGTTATATAATTGTAAACAATATCCAGCTCCAAAGAAAAAAATGAGTAAAAAAATATTTAATTTAATATATTGTATAATAATATCTTGCACTTTTTATTAATAATTATTTTCTTAATCAAAAAGAAATTACATAAAAAAAAAAAATTTAGGCTTAATTAAAAAACAATAAAGATTATTAAAAAAAATATATATTTCACCTTTTTTTTTTAATTCACACGGCATATTCTATATTATCATCTGATTACAACAAAAAATATTACTTAAGTATGCGGTATTAAATATAAAAAGCAAAATTAAAAATGTTGAAAAAACCAATGACGGTTAAAAAGTAATTGAAAAGGATAAAATAATTTAAAAACCCCATCGACTTAAAAAATAAATGCAATGCGAGATAAACTCAAGCATATCCGTCGGGGGCAACACACAATCAGATATACAGAATAGTCACAGACACGCCCCACCATATTGAAAGGTGCAGTTCATCAACTGTTTCAAAGTTTTTCTATCTATACATATAATAAAATTGTAACTGAGTCGAATCTGTACATTAAGTGTTTTTTGGAAAATGATATTGAACTGGACATTATTATCGGTACAGAGGCCAAATCTATAGTTTTTAGAATTTTTGTCTGTCTGTCTTTCTGTCTGTCTGTTACCGCATCACGAGAAAACCACTTGACAGATTTTGATGAAATTTGGTATGTTGGTAGCTGGTTATGCGGATCAACATATAGGATACTTTTTACCGCGGGAAAATATGTCATTTTTGAGAAAAAATACAAAAACTGCATTGTAAGAGTATACTTATATGTAAAACCTAAGAATTTGGTTTTTGGTCATATGAACGCAGGCGGAGCCGCGGGCAATACTAGTTTTTAATAAAATTAGACATTTTCTAAAACCTTTAAAACAGTGGAGGCAACTTATGAAAATGCGGCTTAATTTCAGTGCCTGCCTATAAGTGTTGTATGGAAGTTCCCCATCGATCCGCGTGTTGCGGTATTAATTACGCGGGGTCAAAGGTACTCGTATACTTCATGTTTATCATAAATAGTTCTAGAAAGTTTGTACTAAGCAATTTGTTTATGATTGTGTATACTATTAGAAAGAGGCAAGGGTTTATTTATTTGTTTGTCTTTTTGAACATGCTGATCTCGGGAAATACTAACCCGATTTGACATATTTTTTTTGCATTAGATAGCCCGTTTATTAAGGAAGAGGAAGAGAGGAAGGTAAAATCTTGGAGATACTTATATATTTAAATATACTTTTATTTAATTTAATTTTATCATTTATTAATATTTATTTATTATATCCGTAATCAATGTTAAAATGAAAAACGAATGTTTTTTTTTCAAAGTTCTTGGTCAGCGCCGGCTAGTGGTCATAAACCGCTTGCCTTACAGTCAATGAAAATATATATTGCGTGCGTGCGTGCTCATAGTCATGTGGAAGTAGGCATAGTAAAATATCGATGTCAAATGAATATCATGTTTAATTTACCATACATAAACATACAAAGATTATATTGTTTAAAGCAACATCAGTTTTAACAGTATGACATTAGTTCATTTACGGTGCAAGGCTTTTCGCAGCACTCGGAGACAACCTGCCTCTTGCTACGGCCCATACTGTGTGCTTTGTGCGGCGCGAGCCACGGCCAGCTCATATCCACAGCCGCCGCACTGTGACGCGTCTGCGATCTCTTCATCAAATTACTGTTGCATAGAGCTGCCAAAGTCGCCGCCAACTGTCTCCCACAGTAGAACTGTCCCAAGTCTTGGCACGCCACTGATGCCATAAAACCTGTGATGGCAAGGAAAATTAATAAGATGTGTACCCTCATCCTGTTAGTTCTTCGATGGTTAGTAAAGAAATGTACTGAATTCTTAAATGAAATTGACTTTATAGGCAGATCAGATGGTGGGCTGAATGTGGGTGGGCAAAGACAGCCTTAAAATATTACCAGGTTCTATGTCTAACGCATATATTTGAATATTAATTACTTAAGCAACCTATAAAGCTTGAGATATCTTCTAGTTCTGGCACACTTCCCCACAAACTACCAAAGGATAAACAAGATGAAGACTCAAACAATACTAGTATTTCTTACTTTATCAGTTTGTGTGGTGATGGCTACTTCTCAGGATTTCGGAGAGGTTTACTGCGGGAGACGACTAGCCACAGCTTTGGCTTTACTATGTGATAGCAACTTGAACAAAAGATCCGATACACATCACAGTATAAACGAAGTGGACTCGAGCTGGCCCTGGCTTGGGCCGAACAGAGCGCACAGTATGGGCCGCAGCAAGAGGCAGGTGGTCTCCGAGTGCTGCGACAAGCCTTGTACAGTGGATGAACTCTTGTCGTATTGCGGAAATTAACCCATAAAGGATTAATTTTACTTTAATGAAAATTAAGTGAAATTTGAATTTTATATTTATTGCTTTTATGAACCAAAATGAAGTTTTATAAATTTTCGCACGCTTCAGCTAAAGTGGTGACTGTAAATAATATAATATTGTATAGTTTAATATCGTAGATTTCTTTAATATTTAATAAATAGTTATATAAATAATATGACTAAAAATACCTTCTTGTTATTTTTTCTGCTAGTATTGATTTGAGAGACCGTTTTATTTATTGTTTAGAATGACGTTTAATAACAATTTACTTTAACAATGTCACGTAAAATAATGAAGGTAAGATGGGAGTGCCCTTCTTGGATGTTTATGTAATGTAATGCTCATGAAAAATTCAAAGAAAAACTGAAAATTATAAAAGCAATATTATTGTATGATTGCGTTCTCAAACTAGAATACCACTTTCTATATCAAAAACCATAAGTTTTTCCTCTAATTGGTAAAGATAAAGTTCAAAAATAACTATTTTTTCTATAAAATTAGCAATTTCGTTAAAATTGTGATTTTTGCTGCTACTTAAACTTTTGTAAGTACATACAAAGTTTTAGTTCACGTTAAGATTTTGTAAATAACCTAAAGAGGAAAAATACATTGAAAACAAATAATATCCCAAACAACGAAAAATAAGTTAAGTACAGCGGAATTCGAGCTATAGCTAAATTTACTTACCTTGTATGACTTATCTAATATGGAAATAGGACTGTAGGTCACATGGTGGTTATAGGTTACTCAACTGTCTCGTTGGTGTAGTGGCTAGCAGCGGGCCAAGTTTAGTTATTGAGTCTTTCTGTATAGTAAGTCTCAGTAACAGCCCGGAGTTGGGAAGTTGGCGCTGTTGCACCCCTGTGCCTCGGAGAGCACGTAAAGCCGTCGGTCCTGCGCCTTAACTCTCACTGGTCGTGTCGAGCAGTCGTCCCACCGGAGTATGAGGGAGACAGTAATAGAGAGTGCACGTTGTGTCTGCGCGTACACTTGTGCACTATAATATCTCCTGCACAGTTGGCTAGTCTCAATGAGATTGGCCGCCGTAGCCGGAATCGGCTAGGAGAACATAACATCACATAGGTTACTCAGGTAATATAATGTAGCATCAATAATAATAATTATTTGTCACATGACATCGAAAATCATCAAGGCCGCTGAAATATTAACACATATATTTGATTTTACAAATGTTACTACAACTGTAGAAGAAAACAGTGACTAAGATTAAATAATTTGAAGATTTTTACATGGAAAATAAAAGTTATTAATATTTAAAAAAAATGCAGTTTAATACTTTCTTAGATTTACGCGAATGTTTGATATTATTAAATAAAACTATCTTTTCGGAATATTTCGCGGATTTATTTTGATTTTTGGTTCCCGACGTTTCGAATGCTTTACAGCATCCATGGTCACGGGAGAGACTGAGGTGTTACATGTCTTGGAGGTATAGTTGTTACAGACAGCCTACCCACAATTAACAAAATGAAAATTGCACCAATTACATTACAATATTTTTTAACTTTAAACATTTTTATAATTTTAATTATAATTGAATATGGAAAATTATTTATTTAATTTTTGCTATTATTTTTATAATTATTACAATTTTAATTAGTAATCTATATTTAGTGTTGCCATTATTATATTTATAACCATAAAGAAAAATATAAAATATAGTATTAATTATTTAAGCCATATAATTGTTCTATGTGTAATTTAAAAAATTAAAATTAATTAAGGATAATAATTTTAATTTAGTTTGCTATTATCTAAAAACAACTTACTAAGCAACACTATTAATATATACTTTTACAATTGAAAAATGAAAAATATTAATCTGATAAGCTGTCATTTTGATCTACACAGTATGAACTTACAACATATGCCTGTCTGTTATGTTTATATTTATTATTTGATTTTATTATATTAATAACAGGATCCCATGACGATGGTAGTACCCAGCCATCTTCCCTATTGAAATTTGGATGTTTTTTAATTTCTTTGGCTTCTCGAATGATTCTAGGGCGATATCGGTTTTCTTTCGCCAGGATTTGAGGTCTATCGAAACGAATATAATGGCGTGGGCAGTCCTGGCTATGTTTGCAGACAGCAGATGTTGTATTGCGACGATGCTTCACATCAGCTATGTGTTCTTTGACCCGGGTTCTAATGGATCGCTTTATTTGTCCAATGTAAGATAAAAGTGATTCGAGAAGCCATAGAGCTCACAAAAAAGAAGTTTTGAGAGCCATCTTGTACTAGTTTTATTGATAAAAAGATATTTAAGAAGAATCCTAGTAACTATAATTTTCAAGAACGATAATATCTGTTATGCTATTTTATTAACTTTAGATTAGATGTCATCCCTCAATGGATCGACCCGAGGGAGCTCGTGCCTTGTCGTCGGTAAGCTCTGAACCTAAACTTTAGTTATAACTTTGTGTATGTAATTTTGATTTTAATGGAAATTGGTGGAGTATAATCAATTCACGACCAATTTTTGATGGCGGTTGAGCTAAAACCGTCTATTGCAAGGAACCTAAATGCGGAATTTTAAAGTATAAATTTTGATTCAATGTAACCGATTCATGATTTGACTATTAAGAATATGGATAAAGGTGATACACTTTTAAAAGATAGAAATATACCTATCTGGCAAAAAAAATCTTTTTCGATCGCACTATATGCTTGCGATGCATTCAACGATTTAAATAATTCTGTGTAAAGCGATATAATTTCTGCGCTTATTAATTAATAATACAAAAAGTAATTCTTTAAAAATAAATGTGATTATTTTCGTTTATTTTATACTAGCAGAACCTGTGGCTTCGCTCGCCCTAAAACTACAAAAAAGCTCTAAAAAAGTAGGTTTCATACAAACTTTAATCCCCTATTTTACTCTTATGGGATGATTTTCGAAAATGCTAAAATGCGTATTTGTTTAATTGTATTGAAGAGCATACCAAAGTTCAAGTAATTCTGATCATAAATAATTTTTGGGTTGTATTATAACGTGTTTTCCTGTGGGAATGAGATTATCTCCCGCGGTAAAAAGTGGCCTATGTCACTCTCCAGCTCCAACTATCTCCATACAAAAAATCATGTCAATCCGTCACTCCGTTTCGACGTGAAAAAAGACAAGCAAACAAACAAACACACTTTCACATTTATAATATTAGTATGGATTTACATTTTCATTTGTGATTAATAAAAGAAAATTTACGTATATATTTATTTTATTAAGTAAACTCAAATTTGTAATTTTTCCATTAATAAGAATACAAAGTTAATTTGCTATTAAAATGGTATATTATGTAATAAGAGTACCTAGAAATGTGCTACTTTCTTAGATTTACGCGAATATATGACATGTTAAAAAAAAGTATCTTTTCCGATTTTTTCGCGGGTTTATTTTGATTTTTGGTTCTCGATGTTTCGTATGCTTTACAACAATCATGGTCACGGGAGAAATTAAGGTTTTAGATGTCTCAAAAGTATTCAAAACGTCGGGGACCAAAAATCAAAATAAATCCACAAACAATCCGAAAAGACAGTTTTATTTAAAAAGTAAGCATGTTGTTTATATACTAAAGCGTTTGAGATGTAAGACAATCTAATTTATCAGTAGAAAGCCATTAAGTATAAAGAAAAAATAATAGAATAAATGGTACCTATTACATTATTATTTGTGTAAGTATTAAAAATACAAACATAACTTACTACTAATGCTACTATATACTAATATTGATTGCATATATGATTGTATATTACAAGAAAAACCTTTACGAAATACACATCGTGCTTTGGAAATATTCATTTCTCCTTTATTGTTGGTTCAATAATTTCCACAATAAGACATAAGTTCGTCTTCTGTACAAGGTTTTTCGCAGCATTCGGAAGCCGCCTGTCTTTTCCTGCGACCTATGCTGTGTGCTCTGTGCGGAGAGACCCACGGCCAGGACATATCTATTGCATTTCTAGCGTGATGCAGCTCAGATCTCTTGATCAAGTTATTGTTACAGAGTAGAGCCAATGAAACTGATAGCCTCCTGCCACAGTAGAATTCTGCATAATTTTGAGAAAGGACCAACATAATGGAACCTGAGATAACAAGCAAGAACAACAGAGTTTGAGTTTTCATCTTGTTAGTTGCTTGATGGTACTTGAAGGAGTGTGTTTAATTAAACTATCTTCTAACCTTTTATAGGTAAATTTCTTTATTAATATTCAAATATATTCAATGAGTATATTTGAATAAACAGAATCTAAATATAGCCTAAAATGTTTGCTTGTTGTCATTGGGCTAATACGCCCACTTTCAACTTTCAACCTGACGTGTTCATTCATAACGTTTAACGTGATGTCATATAGGTATTCTTTAGTCATTAACCAAATAAATGAACTAGATGTATCATATTAGTGAGATCGAATATCTCTCCTTGGCATATTTCTTCAGACACTTTTGGAATGAGTACTGTCACAGGATCGTTACCATCTCTGGATTAATAGCAGCAATATCGTGCTCAGATCAGCAGCTCTCGCTGTTCTCTGCACTTGATTAAGCGGTCGCAGGCGTCTTATCGGTTCTGCGACAAATGTGACTAGCCTACTACTACTATTAATTCTTTGGGCTAGGTTAGTCAACTCAAACCAGCAAAGTGGGCTGGCAGTTGGATACGTAGACCTAAAGATCGAGATCAGGGGCGTGCTATATGCTTGCTAAACTTTGAAAAAAAATTGTTTTATAAAATGATAATTATTTTTAATATGATTTTGAAGAAGATATGTTGGATAATTTTTAAAATCTAGAATAATTTTTTCAGCCGTTAGGTCCCAAAATAGAAATATTATGAAATACTAAATTATTTAGATTTCTATTTTAAATTAAACGTAAAAACAGTAGACAACAAATCTTTTGAAGTGATTGTTACCTTCAAATATTTCGAAAACTTTAAGGAACCATTTTGAAATTTTTATTCATATAAGTAACTATATAGAGAATGGTAGCCCGTCCAGTGGTAACGCGCTCGCTTTAGAAACTGAGTGAAGCGGGTTCAAATCCCGGATCTCACAGCTGATATTTTCATGTGCAAATGATTCCCAACATGATTGCCACTTTTCCTAACCGTGAAGGAAAACATCGTGAGGAAATCTGCATGTTTGAGAGAACCTAGCAAGTTGGCCAGCGTGGTGAACTATGGCCTAAACCTCTTCGTACTAAAGGGAGGCCCGTGCCCAGCAGTGGGACGTTAAGAAGGGCTGAATACAAGTAATTATCTATTATATATACCAGTTTTATTGTGCACAAATTGTTTAGAAAAAAATATAAATAGCAGGCGGCTCTGCTTGTGGTTCTAGGCTCCCTTTTACATCTTTATAATGTGCCTTTGCGTCTAGGTTGATTAATAATAAATTAATAGAAAAAAAAGTAAAAATGTATTTTTTTAAATATTTTGCTTTAGGTATTTATTTTGTCTTTTTAGCGTAATAAAATAAAGGCTTGTTTTTAAAAATGTGTTTTTGTACTATTAATTTATTTATCTAGTTTTTTAATTTTAAGTCATGGTACTATTTACAAGTAATAATTTAACGCATAGGTTTACAAAATTTCGTGTGTGTGCCGTTGACCGCTGAGGAGTTCTATCATACTGTAGATGCAGGCCAGACTTTAGAATGGTGTATTATAATTTAATACGTATACAAAATTTCGTGTCTGTACTATTGACCGATCGAAAAATTGCTTCCGATTTCGAAAATATCTCATTAGGTATCTATTCTAAATGAAAACCCCCGTTTAGTTATTTTTTACATTTTATTGCCTGGAAGTCGGTTTTTTGTTTAAGTTTTTATTTATCCAGTTTTAGTCTAGACGTAATTAGCAGGTAATTTATAAGAAGAAAGTTTTTTAATAACATATACGGTTAAACAACTTATTTTAATATATATTTATTGTTGATTTAAAAAAAAATCTAAATCGGTTCAGGCGCTTTTGAGTAACCGGTGAACATACATAAAAAAAAGATTCCGACGGATTAGGAAACTTCTCCTTTTTGGAAGTCGGTTAAAAATGACATAAAAATGGGTTAGCAATTGGTGAAAATATTCAGTTAAAGAGACGGTACTAGTTCAAAATATATGTACTCGTATGCTTTCAGGAACAAAGTAGTTAGCTGCCAGGTTTTTTTAGTCTATTAAAAACTTAAAGGAGATGTGTCTACTCGTTACTTACATTAAGCTTTAGACATAGTTTGCCTTTTCTAACTAAATTACTAAACAATACTCATATAGCCATTTGCACTGAAATGGTTAATTTTATTTAAATATTCTAAATATATTTAGCAAACGTCAAAACAGTCCATATTTTTATATTTTTTTGTTCTATTGTGACTTCATTATACTAATATTACAAAGAGGTTTTGTAAGTTTGTGAGTTTGTTTGTAGGAAGTAATCTCAGGAACTACTGAATCTATTTAGATAAAATTTGGTAAGAACATATTGTACGACCCTCGTAGGGACATAGAATAGGTTTTATCTCGGAAATCATCTCTTAAGGGGGTAAAAATTGAGATGGAAGTTTATATGGGGAACCTGCTCAAGCGAAGCGGGGGCGCGTCGCTAGTTTTAAATACAAAATCATTTTATTTATAGCTACTGAAAGGATTAAAAATATATCTTATACTATTTATAAGTATTTTTTTAGAATACGTTGTGTCATATACTTTTGTTAAACTATAACATTACGATTGCAAAATTATTAAGTTAATCTATAACAAAAATAACGAAATACTTGAGAAGTTAAAAATTATTAATTTATTTTAAATATACAATTTGCTTACAGCTCATTAAAATAGTGAATGGTTAAACATCAGTTTGTATTTACATATATAAATTTCACACGGAATTCAACAATATGCCGACATCTCTTCATGTGAACAACGCTTCTCGCAGCACTCGGAGACTATTTGTCGTTTGCTGCGACCCAATCTGCGTGCTCTGAGCGGTGCTAACCACGGCCAACGCATTTCTATAGTATCCAAACTGTTGTAAATCTCGGACCTTTTTATCATATTACTTTCACAGACAACAGCCAAAGCTGTTGCCAGACGTCTGCCACAATAGAAATCTCTGAATTCTTGGGAATTCGAAGCCGCAGATACAGCACAGGAAGCGGCAAGAACAATAAGCAAAGTGTGCATCTTCATCCTGGCACTTCTTTGAAAGTCGTCGCAGAAGTGTTTTGTAAACAATAAATTCTTATCATTTTATAGGTGATATAATTCATAAATATTCATATAATTTCTGATTTGAATTAATAAGATGCAAGCTTACCTAAAGACGTCATGAAAGTTATCATGTATGCTTAGAATGAATTTCATTTTCACACTCATCGCCTTCAATAACACCCTACCTGTTTATTTGTAACATTTTCCTCTCTTAACCGATGTCCTTCAAATATGTTTATAAGTCTAAATAAATGAACCATATTTTGTTTAAATAATAATTACTGAATCTTAATACCTACAAAAGCTATTTTAAGTAAAAGTGAGCTATAAGAATTTGTTTTTGTATTAAATACTAGCGACTCACCCTCGCTTCTAGGTTTATTCCCCATACAAACTTTCATTCTCATTTCACCCCCTTAAGGGATGATTTCCAGGATAAAAAGTTTCCTATGTCCTTTCCAGGTTCTCAAACTATCATCTTACCAAATTTCATCTAAATCGGTTCAGTAGATCCAGCGATTACCCTTACAACGTCACAAACTCACAATTCACAAACTTTACCTCTTTATAATATTAGTATAGATTATAGTATAGAAATATTTCCTCAGTTAATATGGTCAGGAAAAACTTTAAGAGTATTATTTTTTCTTGTCTTTCCAGTAGTACATTGTACGTATATATATTATACTCGTACGTAATAGCTGTACTATATCAGTTGTTGAGTCTTATTGTAAGTCTACTGCCGAAAGCTGTCTACGATAACTTTGACTGTTTTGAATATTTAAACATAAACATGCAGATATAGAATTAAACTTTTGCTTGCGCTTTTCCGGAAGTTTTGTTAGTATTTAAAATTTACATTTAAAGGAACTTAAGAATAATAACAGTTAAAGAGTTCTCAGAAAACTCTACACTTGTGAATAAATATTTTATATCTCAGTTTAGTTTTACATTATAATAATTGTTATTCTACGAGTACTTATTATTCAATCTAGACATAATCTGACTATTGATCATATGCAGAGGCCTCTGTTGTTAAGTTATTCATTTTTAGCAATTCTTTTAAAAAACTATTTTACTATTCTTCAAACTTATGAATATTTAGAAGCATCTTTTACTATTGCAGATAGAATTTATGGCTCAACCTTTTATACACACACGGCACAGCTCAGTTGTTAGGGTTCAAATAATAGTTATTTTAATAGAGTTACAAAGTACTTACCAAATATAAAGTGGCATTCTTAAATTATTTTGAGAAAAACATTTTTAATGCCTTAAACTAACTTTTAACAAAAATATTTTACATTAATTCTTATAGGTAATTTTGGAATACTTCAATAATTTAGCTTACCACTAAAAATCGTTCATTTTACAAAAATTTTGATTTCAGAGCTTAAGCTTTTATTTAGTTTCAGCTGTCCCGGTCTGTGTAATGAAATCTTGCAAGTTAAATTTGAACCACTTCCTAGTGTCTGTTTGAGCTGCAATTTGACACACTAGTTTGGTTCCCGATAAAATGCAGTTTACTAAATGCCGCCATTTTTAATACAATATGGCGGAAGTTACAAAATGGCGATTTATCATTTCCATAGTGACCCTTATGATATGGGCATCAAATAAAAGGGCTTGATAAAAGAAATATAATAAGCAACGTGACGTCATTGTAAATCCAATATGGCGGCCACCGCTAAATGGCGATTTATAATGTCCACATTAACCCCTATGATGTGAAAGGGCTTGATAAGCGAAATACGATAAGTAAAGTGATATTATTGTAAATCTAATATGGCGGACGTTGCAAAATGGCGGTTTATCATTACAAACTTTTATTTAATTTCACCTGCCCCGTTGTCTGTCTGTCTGTAATTAAATCTTGCAAGTTAAATTTGACTAGACGTCATTCTAAATCCAATATAACAATAAGGACTCCCAAAGATAGTGGACTATGTTTTTTTGCACCCCCATGATATAGATATCAAATGAAAGGGTTTGCTGAGACGAATACGAATAATATAAAAAGTAAAAAATAAATTAATAGTAAAAATTCATTTTTAAAAACAAGCTTTTATTAAAATGCTCAAAAAAGAATAAAATAAACTTTAAAATAAAATGAAACCCAACAATTTATTATATATTGCACAATTATTTATATGATATAAAAACTTGTCGCGTGATTTACTTGTGTAGACAAACAAGAATATTAATATTATATTTAAAATATGTAAATCTCGCGACAAGCTTTTATGTCATATAAATTGTGTAAAGTAATAAATTGTTAGGTTCGATTTAATTGTACTTTTTTTTTACTTTTTAGAGCATTTAAATAAAAGCTTGTTTTTAAAAATGTTTTTTTTTACTATATTAGTAGTAATAATAAATAATATATATATATATATATATATATATATATATATATATATATATATATATATATATATATGATAGTAGTAATAAATTGTTATTAGAAAATAAGTATACGAAATATGTAACAATTAAAGATCCTTTCATTTTAAATAATTTATTTACATCATACTTATATTGAAAAATAATGACTTTTTTAAATACAGCTGGCTATTATTTACAATTGTGATTTTTTGATAAACCGTCAGAATTTCTAGAGTAACAGCTATTTGCAATTTAAAGGTTAATTTCCGCAATATGACAATAGTTCATCTACGGTGCAAGGCTTATCGCAGCACTCTGAGACCACCTGTCTCTTGGTGCGGCCCATACTGTGTGCATTGTGTTGTGGGAGCCAAGGCCAGTTCGAGTCCACTTCGTTTATACTGTGAAGTGTATCGGATCTTTTGATCAAGTTGTTGTCACAGAGTAAAGCCAAAGCTGTGGCTAGTCGTCTCCCGCAGTAAACCTCTCCGAAATCCTGAGAAACAACCATCACCACACAAACTGATAAAGCAATAGACACTAGTAGTGTTTGAGTTTTCATCTTGTTTGGTTGTCGTTTGTGTTGTTGTACCTTTGATAGCTTGTGGGGAAGTGTGCCTGAACTAGAAGATATAACACGCTTTATAGATTGCTGAATTAATTAATATTCAAATATATGCGTAGGACATTTAAGATTGATAGTTTTTAGACTTTAAATGAGTACTTTATGTGTTCTAGACGTACGAGTACTTTGTCTTTCCTTCCTACACGTCCACATTCAGGTCACCACGTGATTGTTCATTCATGGTGTTTGATAATATATGTATATATGATCCGCTCCTTTCGTATTAAAAAATGTTCAAGCATATACATATATTTGAATAATAATAAGCTGTTGTATCTATAAAGCTTTCTACACTCAGGCATTCAGCACATTTCTTCACTACTCATCATACAACTAACAGGATGAAGACACAAACTGTTTTAATTATATTCACTATGTGTAGTGTAATGGCCGCAGTAGTGGGCCAAGACTTGGGGCAGATCTATTGCGGGAGACGGTTGGCGACAACTCTAGCTGTTCTCTGTAACAGCGAGCTGATCAAGAGGTCGGACTCACCTCATAGTACCGCGGCGGTGGACATCAGCTGGCTGTGGCTCGCGCCGAACATAGCCCACAGTATGGGTCGTGGCAAGAGACAGGTGGCCTCCGAGTGTTGCGACAAGCCATGCACAGAAGATGAACTCTTATCATACTGTTGATAGAGATTGTGATGAGTTGATTTTGTTTGATAAGTTTTGATGTCCCGATTTGTAAATAAAAATATTGAAATCCACTGTGTTTTGTTTATTGTATTGTGTTTTGTTTTGTTGACTTTGTTTTACAGAAGATATACATATATGATTAAAAAGGAACGTGGTTGTCTGATCGCCATTTTCTTACACTTTAAACTTTTGAATTAATACCAACATTATTTGAATGAAACGAATGTGATTCTCGTATATGAAAATTTAACACTTTAAAAGTTAAGACGCTTCAATTGGGCCTTTTAATTTGTCTAATAAATGCGAAAGATTGTATGTTTGATTTAGATGAAATTTACTACCCAGATAAAGTATAGGTATACTGGAGTAACAACAAACTTATGGACAAAAAGAAATAAATCACTGTTTCGTCCAAATAATCAAATATTCCTTCTCTGATACATATACATACATATACATTACCTACACATATAATAAAATAGTAACAAAGCGAAATCTGTACATTAAACATTAAAAAAAAATTACAGTCACGTATTGTGTAGAGATTATAGACTTTAAAACTAAAGTTATTGATTTTTTTTGTCTGTTTGCTTGTATGTGTGTTTCATTGTTTGTATGTATATCTGTGTATATTTCACGTAAAAAGTACCCACTGAATCGATTTTAACAAAAATTTATGTAGTGATAACTAATTACGAGGGTCAACATTTAGAATACCTTTTACTACAGGAGAATCTTTTATTCCCACGGGAAAACAATAACTGGTTCTGTCGAGTCGACCAAAGAAAAGTACATGGCTGACGTTTAGCCTTAAGAGATGCATCAAAACAAGTTACTAGAAAATCGTGAGTCTTAAGAAGTGTCTGCAATAGCATATGTCTATCTCCTGCTATACACACTCAAGATAACTATGTTTATCTATTTAAAACAAACGTACCGTACTATACCATGAACGAATGTAAAGTTTTAGTTATATTTCACGCTGTAGAATTTTTAATTTTTCAATATATGGTAACTAGTTACTTGGTTTCAGCAGAATAATATGAGTTAAACTTAAAACACTATTGATATTGAGAGAAGTCTCAGTTCAACTATAAACGACAAAAATGATTACCTCCTAAGGTTTTCCTCCTGAGGGGATACTCTTCAAGAGTCGTGACATATCATTAGGTTGATTGTTCGCACATTTGATTATTTTCTATAAAAATGTAAATTACTGTTCTTGTTGAAAATCATGAAATAATTAACTCTTATTAAGTGTATCGCATTAGTCTATCTAGATTCTAGGTATTATTTGTTTTGCTGTAAAAAGAAATAGAACACTAGTTTTGGAATATAATTGAGTACTATTATTAATTCAATTGGTATTATAAATAATATGTTGGGATATTAACACACAGCTCCATGTAGTTCCATTGTAAGCTGCGAGGCTTGTGTTATGGATACCAGATAGTTGATACACTACACATATATAACTTTAAATACATACATATTATAAATATAAATATCCATGACTAGAGTACAAACATTCGCGCTTACCACACAAATGAATGCCCCCAGCGGGACTCGAACCCGCGATCGCTGGCACAGCAAGTAGGTCACTACAAACTGAGCCAAACGTGTCGTCTAATATTAATATAAAGTAATCATAGTTTATGAATAATACTCTGTTTTCGTGACAGGCTATCATAGTCAACAGAATCATATATATAAGTACAGTACAGATACAGTACCTACTATTTTGTAAAAAAAAACAACAATAGCTATTCCAAATTGAGAATATTTAATTTGAATGATGAAAGATGGCAGAAAAGTTTGATGGGACAATTATGGAAATTGTCAAACGTATGCTTAATCATTATGACATTCGCATATATACTAATTATTTAACATCATCATCATCATAATATTAGCAGACGACCGTCCACTGCTGAACATAGACCTCCCTCAAAGATTTCTACGACTATCAGCCTTGAGCTATCTGCATATACTTGATTCCGTCGACTCTGATCAAGTCGTCGGTCCACGTTATGTTTGACTGTCCACGCTTTGTTATCCGGTACGCGACCGATGGCGGTCACGTTAAGAATTCTGGAATGGTCCAGAATTCTTAATTTCCAACGATCATCAGTGCTGCAAGTGATGTGGTCATATCAGCACGTTAGCTTCACATCGACGTGACAGCCCGTCCTTTCTGTCTGTTTTAGCGTAGTTACTATTTACTGCAACAAACTTATTTATAAATATAATATTTAATTCTTCTTTCAATTTTTTCCTAAAAGTTTTGTACCGTAATTAGGACGTAATAATATTATTACTGTTGTTTATTGCAAATATGTTAAAGAAAAAATATATATAAAAAACAAAGAAAAAGTGAAAATTTAGATTTGTATGTATTTTTTTTTTTGTATCATTAAGAAAAATGTCCAAAAAATGAAAAAAAATGTACATCCTATTCTCAGACTTACAAAATATACACACAAAATTTCATAAGAATCGGTCAAGCCGTTTCGGAGGAGTTTTGTTATAAACACTGTGACACAAAATTTTTATATATTAGAAGATTAATAAAAGCGAAGTGATAAAATACATTGTTGTCTTTGAAATTATCCATGTTATACTGTTTATTATGTACAAAATTGGATGATATTGATATGTGCAATTACTAAATAATATTTACATTTATAAATAGATGAAGTGTCAGAATTTTCTTAGAGTTGTAGTTAATAACAATTAATTAAATATTAATTTCCGCATCACAACAACGACAAAGATCATCAAAGGTGCAAGGCTTATCGCAACACGCAGTAGCCACTCGTCTCTTGATGCGGCCCAGACTGTGAGCGCTGTACGTTGCGAGCCACGGCTAATTTAAGTCCACTGGGTTTATACTGTGACGTGAATCAAACCGTTAGACCAAGTTGTTATTGCTAAGTAAAGCCGAAGCTGTGGCTAGTCGCCTTCCGCAGTACACCTCTCCAAAATGAGAATCCGAAAGAGTGTTTGAGTCTTCATGTTGTTTATTCTTTGATCACTTGTGGGGAAATGTGACCTAGATTATATCCCAAAATATTCACATAGATACATAAATACTTTATTGCACACACAAAAGAAGATTACAGAAGATGAAAAAAAAACATAACAAAGAGGCAAAGGCGATCTTATTGCTATGAGCAGTCTCTTACAGACAACCTTTGGTGAAAGGATTAGTAGAACCGTAGACGTGACGGTACAATTAGTAAGTAGTAAATACAAGCATGATAAACTATGTTCATAAACAAAGACAAAAATATATACACGTATAATTTTTATACGAACAAATATACATAAATACATACTTGCATGTAGTATATATATACTCAATAACTAACGAGATAGTATTAGTTAGTAATAATTAGTTAGACGACGTTTAAAAATATTAAGTGAGTTTGAATGGTGAATATCGTGGGAGAGCATGTTCCATAGCTTAAAAGATATCTGAAAATATTTTAAGATCGCCATAGTTTGTTACTATACACCTACATTCAATTTACTACCTGAAGGCTTAAATAACGTCATAAATGAACTATCGTATTATCGAGATAAGTGAACCACATATATTTGAATATTAATGAACTTTAATATCTTATAAAACTTACTCCACTGAGGACAGTCTCCACACTTCTTCTCCAATTATCTTACAGGTAACACGATGAAGGCTGTGACCACATTGATATTGCTTGCCATCTCTGGTTTGATAGCAGCATTGACGTATCAAGACGTGGGGCAAGTTTATTGCGGGAGAAGGTTGGCGACAGCTTTGGCAGTTCTGTGCGACAGCGACTTGATCAAGAGGTCGCAGACGCACCACAGAGCGGCGGCTGTGGATGTGAGCTGGCCGTGGCTCGTGTCGCACAGAGCGCACAGTATGGGTCGCGGTAAGAGGCAGGCCGCCTCCGAGTGTTGCGACAAGCCATGCACAGAAGATGAACTCTTATCATACTGTTGATAAAAAGCGTGATGTCCGATTTTTGTTAAGTAAAATTTAACTGTTGATGTGATAGTTGAGGAAGATAAAAATGATGGAAACTTGAATTATATTTGTTTAATTAAAATTAAAAATATTTTATTTAATCTAACTATTTTATTGACCCAAGAAGTATTGTATTCAGCGCTTTTTAACGTCCCACTGCTGGGCACTGGCCTCCCTTCAATACGAGGGGGATCAGGCCATAGTCCACCACGCTGGCCAAGTGCGGGACTTCACATGTCTTTCGAAAACTTGCTAGATTTTCTCAGACATGCAGGTTTCCTCACGAGGTTTCCCTTCAGCGTAAGGCAAGTGGTAATCATGTTAGAAATGATTCTCACATGAAAATATGAAAGGTGCGAGACCCGGGATTTGAACCCGCATCACTTGGTTTCCCAAGTGAGCGCGTTACCACATGGCTACGTAATAATATAGTATAATAAACATTACATACCTTCAAACGTGATGTGATGTTTTTGTTTACCCATATATTTATAAAGATTTTTTTAAATGGACCTTGATATAGTACAAATATGTATATTTATACTTGTTTTGTATATTACGATTAAAGATCTTGCATAAAATAAATAGTTTTTAAACTATTTAAGTGAACATGTACATACATGATTCAATTAAATAAAATAATTCTTTTTTTAGTGTTTTGATACTAAAAGAAAGTTCACGTTTCAAAACATTAAAATGGCGCAATTATTTCTGTTTTTTTTTTTAAATATTTCGAGGTCATTCACTTACCTACAAGCGAATAGAATTACTTAAGAAAAAAAAACTCAAAAATATATCGCCCTGACAGTCAATACCCAATATATGAAATACAACTAAAAACCAAGGAAATTATATCTTGAAATCATAAACAAAGATGTAAACCGTATCTCTGTCAATTGTCATCTATACATATAATAAAATTGTAACTAAGCCGAATCTGAACATTAAATATTTTTTGAAAAATCTTATTGTAATAGACATTATTATCGATACAGAGGCCGAATCTACAGTTTTTAGAATTTTTGTCTGACTGTGTATCTGTCTGTCTGTTACCGTATCACAGAAAATCCACTGGAGGGATTTTTATGAAATTTGGTATGGTGATGGCTGGTTATCCGGGTCAACATATAGGATACTTTTTACCGCGGGAAAATGTCTCATTTCTGAGAAAAAATACAAAAACTGCAATGTACTAATATGTAAAACCTAAGAATTTGGTTTTTGGTCATCTGAACGCAGGCGGAGCCGCGGGCTATGCTAGTTGTTTATAAAATAATTCGTGTTTGAATTTTCTACACAAACATTTCAAATACTCTCAAATATATGTATCTATAACTAGCGGCTCACCCTCTCTTCGCTCGTGCTCGCCTCTAGAAAAACAAAAACAAATCTATCCCACAGAAAATATTCGTTTATCCGGGATAAAAAGTAGCCTAATTCCAGACTATAATCTATCTCTGTGCTAAATTCCATCTAGATCCATCCAGCCGTTCTGGCGTGATTGAGTAACAAACATCTAAACTTTCTTATTTATAATATTAGTATAAGATTTTCGTCGTAGTAGTTGAAAACGGGAGAAGATGTAATGAATAAAAAAGTGTTGAAATTCGAAGTTCAAATTACAGCCAATATATTCGACTGACTCGATGTCAATCAAACGTTTATCTCTGGTTTGGGCTAAATGCTAGAATTAGCAGTAGTTGGGAGGAGCTTAACCGTCGAGATAGCGATGGGTAGGTATACATTCTCAGATTAAAATTTATATAGACGGATAGGCCAAAATAAATATTGAAGTAGAAATAGTAGGATTTGGCTGTTTATGTTATTATTCTCGTTTTTTTGCGTTACATATTGTTTACTTTCTTTAAATAATAAAGGAAAATTTAGTATAATATAGGTATAGCGAACGTTTGGCTCAGTTTGTAGTGACCTTACTTGCAGTGCCAGCGGTCGTGAGTTCGAGTCCCGCTGGGGACATTCATTTGTGTGATGAGCGCGAGTGTTTGTACTCCAGTAATGGGTGTTTATATTTATAATATGTATGTATTTAAAAGTTATATGTGTGTAATGTATCAAGTATCTGGTATCCATAACACAGGCCTCGTAGCTTACCATGGAACTAGATGGTGCCGTCTGTTAATGTCCCAACATATTTATTTATTATAACTTTTTCTTACTTGAAATATTATGTTCTCTAATGCTATACAATATATAAGTTCCAAATGATAATATAAAGAAATATGTTTAAAAAATAAGCTAATAAAAAAAAATCATTAAAAAAGCTACTACGTTATATCAAAATATTACCCCTAAAATTTATTCATTTCTACGTATGAGGAAAAGTATAAAATAAACAAGGAAAGTCGGAGCAAAAAATTCACGAAGTTGTAATGGAAATATTTCCGTATGTTCTTCTCCTGCATGTTCAGAGAATATTTTTTATATTGTGAGTATAAACTCAGCCAAACGTGTCGTCAAAAAATTATCCTAAAGACCTATTTGTTATATGAAGAAAAAACTACGATTTCTTAACTAGGAAATATTTTTTTGTAAGCTACAAGCTTTCCTAACAGTAATGAAAAAAACATATCATATAACTCAAATTATTATTTATTTACATAATACTTCTTTTTATTTACCAACGCCGTTATTTAAATAAAAAATTAAGTACAAAATATTTACAATTAATTTTTTTAGATAAACATTCAAAATTGTTGGAGAGAAGCAGTAGATTTAGATTTTTTTTTAATTTACTATCCGCAATAGGACAAAAGTTCATCCACAGTGCAAGGCTTGTCGCAGCACTCGGAGACCACCTGCCTCTTGCTGCGGCCCATACTGTGTGCACTGTGTTGTGGGAGCCAGGGCCAGCTCGAGTCCACTTCGTTTATACTGTGATGTGTATCGGCTCTTTTGATCAAGTTGTTGTCACAGAGTAAAGCCAAAGCTGTCGCTAGTCGTCTCCCGCAGTAAACCTCTCCGAAATCTTGAGAAGTAACCATCACCATACAAACTGATAAAGCAAGAAATACCAGTAATGTTTGAGTCTTCATCTTGTTTATCCTTTGGTAGTTTGTGGGGAAGTGTGCCAGAACTAGAAGATATCCCGAGTTTTATAGGTTGCTGAATTAATTAATATTCAAATACGTATATGCGTAGGATACTATTGAATGAATATGATCAAATTTTATTTTAAATGAATAGCCGTGATGAGATTACAATTACAATTTATAATTATTACACTATACGATATACTTTTAATTTTGCAATGGACCCACAAAACTGTTTGCACAGTTTGTCTGTGGGATCAGAGTCTCACAGTTATTAATCTTACATTATGATATTTAAGGATATTTATATATATTTTACATTTATATATATTAAATTTATATATATTACATTATGATAATTTGAGTAGGTATGTTTAATTATGTTAAGCTGTCCATATTTACCATGGCATGTTTTGTCTTCTCTTACAACAGCCTATAAATAGGTCATAGCTTGATTGACTGGTTCCTGTCGCGTTATCCAATGAAGTGAAGTATTTAAATATTTGTTAACTTTAGTATTACTATAGTATGTACTATAGTATAGTTTACTCTGTACCGATATTCCTTGCTACCTAGTGGGAGCGTGCCATGCCATATGGGACCCAAATCGTGCGTTCACCTACAGCTACAATTTTCTAGTAATTTGTTCTGCTGTATCTCTTAAGGTTTAGCCAGTGTTAGATTTGTAAATTAAGAACGACTCGCTAGAACCAATCATTGTGTTTTCCCGTTGTAATGAAAGATTTTCCTGACGTAAAAAGTATCCTAAATGTTGACCCGAGTAATAAGTTATCACTACATAAAGTTCATTTAAAATCGGTTCAGTACTCTTTGCGTAAAACGCGCACATCGATTTCGCTAAGTAACTGTTTTATTATATGTATGTATAGATGTATTATACATATTATATTTTACTAACATTCAATTTTATCCGGCATTATCAAGACATTATTGTTTAATCGTATACTAAAAACACAAAATAGCTAAACTGTAGAAGATATAGGTAATTACTACCGTTTAGCTATTATGTTTTAATCATTTATTTCAGGCAATATTATTAAAGTCTACTTTGCTAAGGCATTAATGCCCGATTTCACCAACGTCACCTAAGTTTAAGGGATCCCCTAAGCATGGTAAGGGGGCTGTTAGGAGACAGTTTCTGTTTCACCGACAGTTAGGGGTTACCTAAATATTAAAAGGCCCCCTAAATGTAGGTGCTCGAAATATGAGCTTAAAGACGATCGTAAAAGGAAATTTAATTTAGGGGCTACTTTAGGGGACTTTTAGGCTAGGGATCCCATACGTAGGTGGTAGCTTATGGGTTGTTGGTGAAATCGGGTATAAGTCATCGTACTGCGCACAGGGAGAGGATAGGTTGTATGGATTTCCTTGCTATCAAGATTTCATAGCAGTAATGCGGATAGAGATGTTGTACTTCGGGAGATGACTGGCGAAAACTCTACGAGTACTTAGACAGTTTGACGGCCTATTGCACCATATTTAATTTTATTTGTATAAAAATTTAAATAAATAAAAATTTATAACAAAATTCTCGTTGATCTAGAAAGAAGTACATAATGAAAATTTACCCTCAAAGCCATTATTGCTTGCACTCATAAAATTATTTATTACTTTAAAATTAGCTGAAGAAAGTAATGAGTTTCCATCACGCACACGTCCGCTTAACAGTTGTTATACTCGTATATATTTTTTCATTTTTAATATATGCTTGTTTTTGTTGTTTTTTTTATTGTTTTTAATTACTTGATTTATTAGTATTTAATAATAATGAAATAAATAAATAAAACTATTTTTTCACGGCAGAGACCGTGACCAATATTGCTGTAAAGTATTCGAAATGCCGGGAACCAAAAATCAAAAAAAATCCGCGAAAAAATTGATGCGGTCACAGACAGACAGACA